CAAGGCGACTCAGAGGGGGAATACAAATGCCTATACCGATAGAAAATGAGTGGAGGGGGACCACGTGCGATTGCGTTGGGTTTGAGATTGCCAAGGAGTTATCATATGTATGGATAGAGCGGATTTGGAACCCGATAAGGGAAGAGGAAGGATGGGACGAGATAGCGGAGGGCAAAGTGGAATCGGTCGGAACGATTGTCCTTTCCGAAGATGGGTGACGCCTATTTTGCACTATGTTAGCAATGGGACATGACCCAATGTGGCTTCTAGGGGATGCGGAGGCGCGAACCCAAAAAGAAGGCAAAAGGTTCGCCAACGAGGGATGGGACGAAGTTAATAGCAGAGTTGTGATGGGAGGATGAAAGGAACTCAAACCTCCCAACCTACGAACAACGGCGTGGGTGCCTGAGTTCGTGGCCGAGTGGTTTGGGGGTTTCAAACACATCATAGACGTGGCTGACTCCATGAAGGAAGTACACATAGAATGTGTCTGACTGACTGAGGAATTCTATAGGATCTCCTTAAAATATGGGCCCTTCTACGGAGATAGAGTCAATGAAGTCCTCACCGTCCTGAGGATAGGCAAGTACGACCGCCTAAAGGTAGAAAAAGGAACTTGGGATGCCATAGTTAGCCGGGAGGTGGCGGCAGCCCATCTTACGTGGATGATGTCTTTAAATTGTTTGAGGTACTGTGGTTCGATTAAAAAGGACCTACAAATCGAACGCCACGGGGGGGGTCGGAGTATGGAGGATACATGTGAATTAGGGTGTAACATAAGAAAGGGGCGTGTACATTAGTTTAGCAAGGGGTGCGAGGGGGTCAAAACAAGAGGGGGAGGTATCAACAACCGAAAAATGGGAAAAGATTCGTACATGTATGGGGCAGGGACAACGGCAGGAACTGGCGTACGGTAGGTAAGGAGTGCGGAAAGACTAAATCTAGAAAGGCGCGGAATCTCGGTGGGTGCAGCGGTCGAACTAAGGGAGCAGGAAAGGAGACGTTGCAAGATGGCCCGACGAATGGCATTCTGGGAGGATAGGCCTCGCGGGATCCTGCCACCGAGAGCATCATAAGGCAGGGTCAAAATAAGCTTGCCAGCAATAAGCCTGCCATCAAGAAATGTGGTAAGTAACCTGGTAATGGATTGGGTGGGGGTAGAACGTGTGGAAGACACGGTGTACCTAGTAGTAGAGTTAGAATGGCGTGTGAGAGGGGAGTTCGGGGGCATAAATTTGGACCTCCTAGGGCGCGTACATGCGACAGGATCCTTACACCTGTCGGAAGAAGGATGGCGGACCTTTGGGATTGACTTGGCTTCCGGGGATGACCCCGTGCGAATGTTCGAAGGAGCATGACAGACAACCTGGCGAGAGGGGTTTGAGTTCGTGGATCCAGAACGAGATGACGTGACGGCTGAGGTAAAAGTCGCCGCGACAGGGGTCTTTAGGTTACCAAATGAGGTTATACGAATGAGTCTACCGCCCTTTTTACTAAGACGAATGGAAGGCGTAGAGCGAGTGGAGCAGGTGGTAGCTGTCATAACTAGGCTAAATTTTGATGAAACATTAATGTATCGAAAATACTACTGGGCCTTCCTAGAGATGAGACCTTTTGAAGACGAACAAGGGCACGAGGTGTTATGCATACAACGGGCAGCAGTAAATACTAGGCCGGGGATTCCGCAAATAAGTGATGAGGCCATATGGGAAGTAATCGACAGGAGGTAGGTCGGGGCGCAACCTATATAGACGACCTATACCGGGTGTACGAGCAGCCAGCGGAGGTTGCTGCTCCTGGGAATATGGAGGGATAGTTGGGACCAGAGAAGAAAAATGAGAACATAAAATGTAAGGGGACAGTAGGTGGGCGTTTGCTGAGGATCAGCTGTAATCCTTTCTATGTGGACTATGCAGGAAATCATTGGAACAACGATAACAACGACGCGTGTTCGAACGGTCCGCCAGCCCTGGTACCCCAGACCTCCCTGGTATAACGGCAGAGGGTGGGAAGTGTCCCTACCGTCAAGTCCCGACTTTCGGGGCGATACAGAATGACAGACCGTGACTTTGGGGAGGGACCACGCCTTTATGTTGGTAGAATGTCAGTAGACGAGGATGAGATTCAACCGAGGACCTGGGGATGACTTGTTTTCCAGTTTGGAAGTTACCGGGACCATGTATCTACCCGAGATCGGTTGACACTCGTTGGGGGTGGGGATAACACAAGGTCACGAGCTGGCACCGGTCTTTCGGAGGGCCGCCAGGACGCTGACTCGAATAGGTCAATCGATCAGGGGCAGGAGGAACATGGATTTGCTCACTAGGGTGGAAATGGGGGGCTGGACGGAGTTCGGGGCACCGACAACTCCGCTGAGGTGTCGGGTTCCCAGATTCATGGTAGACCTCGTCTTCGGAAGCCTCGCAAGGGCGCATGATCTGGCTGACTCGGCAATTATCTGGGTAGATCACTTTCCTTACCCGACCATCGGGACGTTCTATGATGTTGCTGTGGAGCATGGGCCGTTCTGGGGAAAACGGGCCCATTAAACGGTTGAAAGTAATTAATATTTTGGTATTTGGGTTACCACGGCTAGCTTGGGCAGAATACGAACACATAATCCGGAGGGAGATCGAGATAGGGGAGAATTATCTAGCGGGGGTGGCTCAACTATTCGAGGAGCCTACCGAACCAGAAGGGTCACGAGGGCGAGAACGGGACTAGCGTCCGGGGGCGGGCCGATAGGGCAAATCAAGTATAGTCCGCTACGTACAGGGGCTTCCCAATGGAAATGAGGAAGGACCTACGCGCCGTCCGACGAAACAAGGGCACTCTAAATGAGCATGTGATAAAGGGAACTGAGCCGTGTTCCTTAGCTCGGTAGGGCAGCAGGGTCGGCCGCGGCTCCTTCTTAAGAAGGCAATCAGGGAACGGGAATGAGAAAAAGGCTACTATCCGAATAAAGATAAGCCAACGAAGCCGGAACCTAGGGAACTTAAATGCCTCGCGTTGCGTGTGTCCTGGGGAATCCTTTGGTTTATGCAGATCTAGGCAAAATGGCAACGGAGGATGAGTCGGATAACCATAGGAGCGAAGGAGAACCCGACTTAGGAGGCAGTGTCGTGCAGATCGAAGAGGGGCAGAAAGACAGAGAATCGATAAATCCGGATGGTACCAAAGGGAACGGGAAGGAAATCTCCTATGGGGAAAGCTCGGGGAAAGCCGGGGGAAGCAGGCAAGGGACTCAGGAAACCAAGGAGGGCAGAAATAAGGATAGGACAACCCCCGAAATTCAGAGGGAGCTGTGTCAAAACAAGTGAGGGTCACGGATGCGAGACGCAAACTAGCAGAGATAGAAAAAAAGACCGCAGAGTACAAGGCAAGATTGATTGGGGAAATGACGACTGGGAACGAAGAAGGGTCTCTGCAGGAGGAACCGCGGGACGAACGGAAAACCGGCCGAGGCAAAACTGGGCAAGGGGATAAGGGTAGTGACCATGGTCGAATACCGAGCAAAAGGAGGAAGGAGAGAGAGATCTCACCGGGGATGGAGGCACAGAAAGCTACGAACCCACCAGCCATGGATAGTAGGGCTAGCCGTCTGCCGACCACGCCAGCGGTAACACGAGGATGTGAAGGACTCTGGAGCCTTAGGGAAAGGGTGTTGGAATGGTTCAACCCGGAAAGAATTGCAAAGAATAGGGAGGGACAGAAGACTGACAAGGAAGGGAAGGATACCAGTATGGCGGGCGAGGCCAGTAGCTCCGAAGGCGGCCTTAGGAAGATAGTATCGTCCCTCGAGCGGGCACTGAACAAAACCAAGGCTACCTAGCGGATGCTAAGAAAAAGTTGACATTTGACGGGGCAAACATCGCGAAATTCCTGATAGATTACAAGAATCTGGCCGCGTTGTTGAAATGGACCGAAGAAGAAAAGATGGACCACCTGAGGCAGCATGTGTCTTTGAGCTTGGGGTGGGACATAATGGTCATCGTAGCCGCGAGTCGATCCTGGGAGGAAACTCGGGATGTGATGATGAGGAAATACCTGGCAGCGGAGAAAATGGCCACGGAGGCCGATTTACTGGCAGTCCAGAGGAAGAACTTCGCAACGTACAACGACTTCCTACGAGAGTTTACCCTAGTAGCACTAAGGATCCCCAGGGGTTACGGACCAGATAATGAGCAAATACTTCCTCAGGCAGGTCTCCGAATTCGACAAAGAAAAGATTTTGTCGGCTTACCAACAGACAAGCAAGTTTGTAAATACCAGGGATGTTGATTTTAGCACAGTAACAGATCTGGTCGAAAAGACCATAGTTACCGAGACATTGGCCTTGCTCAAGGAAGGGGAAATCATAGATCTGGCTGGTAGGACATGCGACAAGGTAAAGAAGGGGATTGAAAGTCTACATGAACGGGTACACGGAGTCAACAACAAGATTGAAAGGGTGGAGAACGCGCTACAAGTTATGCAGGAGCAGGTATCCCGACCCGCCCTCCCTCCGCAGGAAGCCGTAGTTCCGCCAGGAGTAGCCAATCGAGGATACAGACGGAGAGATCCCGCTAATGAGCAATGCGAGTACTGCACCGCAGTGGGGCATTTTGTGCTCGCATGCCCAAAACTCAACCATGATATATTAAAAAGGAGTTGTACCAGGTCATTAAAGGGAGAGATATTCGGACCGCAGGGAGAACGGGTGAATTGGAACTCCTCAGGGGGGATGCGGCGAGCCGTTATCATGCTCAATGGGCTAGAGATAGCGGTCGTGGAAGCTGAGCCGGTGGTCGATATCATCTATGATCAACTTCGGGGCCGTGGGCCGCAGGTCAACTTCATTTTGGAAAACGACGGACGTGATAGGGTGAACGCGACTACTTGACTAGGGACGGCTGGGAGAAGAATTATCCGTGACACCGTCATGGAAGAGGTTGTTGGAAGCTCCGTGCCCCAGACAGAGCCTTAGGCCGGGGAACCGGAGAAAGTCTATGAGAAACCTAGGGAAAAGGAGCCTACATACAAAGTTACCGCCTCTAAAAAGAAGTTTAGGTACCAAATCCCGATCCTAACCATGCCTGAGATCGATGACACCCTTAGCAAATAACTAGGAACCATGGTATCGGTGTCGTTTCAGACCATGCTGCAGGCCAACCCTAGGTTGCTTAAAGGGCTTGGACAACTGTTGACTCGGCGGCGAGTAGAGATAGACGAGAACCCCGAATCACCGGAAGGGGAAGGAGAGGAGGAGGCTCCGCAAGAAGTCGCTAACCTTGAGAAGAGTCGCAGGGATTTGGAGGATCTCGAGAAAGCCTTTGCGGACATCCGTCTGAGCTTGCCGGACCGAGAGGGCGGCGAGGTCATGAGGGCACCACCCGGGACAAAGCTTAGTTTTCATGCACTGCCCGTAGGAAAGCTGAAAATCCAGATCGGGACTCACCATACCGACGCATTAGTAGACGGGGGAGCGGGAATCACTCTCATGGGGAGGGATTTTGCAACAATCACGGGCTGTACGGTAAATAAGAAAGTAACAGGAAGCATCTGGGGAGTCGGTGAGGAAATTCCGTTCGCTGGGTATGTCCCGAAATGCGCAGTCAAGGCAGGAATCAGGGAGTCAATCTGGTCGTTTCAGTGGATGACCGTAATGGAGGAAATGGACCACGACATAATCCTCGAGAAACCATGGTGCGCAAACGTAGAAATGATAGGTATGCACTTGCACGACGACACGTACATGATAATCACTTTCATAAGGAGGGATTTCACGACAATCACGGGTTGTATGGTAAATAAGAAAGTAACAGGAAGCATCTGGGGAGCCGGTGAGGAAATTCCGTTCGCTGGGTATGTCACGAAATGCGCAGTCAAGGCAGGAATCAGGGAGTCGATCTGGTCGTTTCAGCGGATGACCGTAATGGAGAAAATGGACCACGACATAATCCTCGGGAGACAGTGGTGCGCAAACATATAAATGATATGTATGCACTTGCACGACGACACGTACATGGTAGACATAGAGGACCCAGTGACCGGCCGGGGAGAGCTCCTCCGACTCCTTGGGATGGGAGGGGGCCCTACGAAGGGGAAGTTAGCAACATGGTCACCATCCTTCGAAGATAGCGCACGGAAGGGGGTTTTTGCGCGGATGGAGGGCATGAGAGAAAGGGTAGAAATCATGATCGAGGAGGCATTCAATTAGAAGGAATGGATCAAGATGAGCATGCCCCAGAAGAGGAGAAGGCAGGAGGACGAAGTCTTAGGTGTTATGGTGGCAGAAAGGGAATCAGAAGTCGAACTCGGGGCCAGCTTGCCCAAGCGAAAAGAAGTGCGCACGGATGTGCCAGAAGTCGCACTCCAGATTCCCGATTTGTTACAGCTTATCAAGGCCCTCAGATACCACAAGGTCGGAGTGGACTCGGCGGCCTTAGCCAAATTCGAAGGAGAGGTACAAAAGGGATATTGTCTGAATGAAAAATTAGTTAGTATTCAACAGGGTTGTCACGCGGGGATCCCCGGGGCCCAAGCCGGGGTAGGGGTTTCACCCCCGGACCCTCGCCCTCGCCAAAAC